TGCTATGTGACTAACATACGAAGCCTTTCTGACTCTAAGTGTGAGTCCTGGGGGTCCTGACTGCTTGGGGTCCGTCTAGCACCACTCTATAGAGACCACCTCCCCCAGGAAGTGCTGTCAGGACTGCATCCCCACCAGACCTGCGGTCCAAGGGCGTGGTCCACCCTCAGGGTTGGTGACCGGGCCTGCGGGAGAGGAGGTGGAGGGCTACAGAGTGTGACCAGCGTTCTCATGGGGAGGGACTCTGCACTTTCCAGGAAGCTCAGGGGAACAAGGCCAGTCACAAGGACCTTGAGGTTTCAACAGGTCATGAGCAGGCAATGGGGAGGGAGGCTGAGGAAGTCCAGGAGGCCCAGGGCCAAACGAGGGCCCACTGTCCACCCCCTAGTACACCCCCCATACACACACACACACACACACACACACACACGAAAGGCCTCACGAGACCCTCAATGGGCAAGGCCTAGGCTGCGGCTAGAGACTTCTGTTGCCCTATCCTGCAGGTGCAGCCACCCCTTCTAGGGCTGACGGGCTGGGAAAGTGATGCATCATGAGGAATCTGCCTTGACTCTGTGTGGTCACATTACCCTGTTTTCCTGCACAGCCCTCTTGCTTCGTGTGTATTTAGGGCCCATGATGGCTCAGGCAGAGGGCGCAGCTGGTACCCCGAATGAAAAAAGAAGGGGTGAGTTGGTCCGAACACTTTATCCCGGTAATTGTGGGCCCCCTCCCTGCCACCCACGTGGTGCTCTGTGTGAACACAAGCTTTAGGGGACCCCAGGGAGCGTCTGTGGCTGCAGATGAGCCTGGCTGTGGTGGGCGGGACCAGGCACGGGAAATGCTGACGTCACTCACGGCACTGTCGATCCCCAGGGTGAGCAGCATGATGAAGAAAACCACAGCCCAGGCAGAGGACAGCGGGAGCGTGGCCAGCGCCTCCGGGTAGATGATGAAAATCAGCCCTGGCCCTGAAAGCAGAACCTCAGGTTGCCACGAGTGTCACTTCACGTTTACGCCCTCTTCCCCGCCCCCAAGAGGCCCACTCGGCCCCCACAAGTGCCTCCAGATTCAGGAGCACAAAATCTTTCCCATCACAGCCTCCCCCGTCCTCCCTCCTGTGAATCTCGCAGACACCTGGCTCTGGACTCTAGATAACGGAACCCAGCACCAGGCGCCACAGCTCTGCTCCAGATCTCTCCTGTCCATGGCTGTGAGGGCTTGGGGGGCGCGGGAGGGAGGACCTTTGGGGTCCTGCCTGTGTCCCTGAGCATCCGAGGGCCCTCTGGCTTGTTCTTCCTGAGTAGGTCGCTCACACACTTGCACTCACTATGGTTCGTGAGCAATACGTTGTAAATATTTTCTGTGCCCTGAAGTACTCTCAGTGTGATCTGTAAAACCACAGGCTGGATGCGCAGACCACATTCATGAGTGCTGTCTGGTGTGTTGCTGGGAATGGGAGTGCTCCTGGGCACATGCCAGTGCTCCTCAGATCAGCCCCTTCTACAACTTTCTGGAACTGGTATTGCTGGGTCAGGACAGGCACTCTGGGCAGCCACACCCGCTCCTCATCCCCAACAGGTGAGATCCAGGTGGAGGCGAAGGCTGTGAGCCTGGATGGAGAGGGGACGGGGACAGCAGGACTCACCTAAGATGAGTTACAGTTTGGCTTTCAGTGACCTCAGAGTAAATATATTCCTACGGGAAATTGGTAAATATTTCCACAGAAATTTTCATGGTCAATCAGAAGACGTGCATACTTAGCTGACAAGCACTGCCCACTGAGACTCTGCTTTGGAAGCACCTTATAGCTCTTCTGTTTCTCCCAGGCCTCAGTAGACCTGCTGGCACCAGCCAGGAACGGGGAGCTTATATGGGGCGCTTAGGTCTTTCTAGAGCAGTGGTTCTCAACCTTCCTAGTGCCGCGACCCTTTAATACAGTTCCTCATGTTGTGGTGACCCCCAATTTCATTGTTACAAATTGAACATAATTAAAGCATAATGATTAATCACAAAAACAATATGTAATTATATATGTGTTTTCCGATGGTCTTAGGCAACCCCTGTGAAAGGGTCGTTCAACCCCCAAAGGGGTCGCGACCCACAGGTTGAGAACCGCTGTTCTAGAGGATGGGACAAAGGCCAGAGACCGGCCAACCTCCCAGAGGCTCCATGGCTCTGGGGTCGGGCTGGGCTCTCTGATGACTGAAATGCAAGGCCAGGGGTTAATTCTTTGAGATGCTGTAAAGTCTAAATGCCATAAAGCCAGGAACCCAGAGAGAGATTCATCAGCTCTGTTGAATTAATGTCAACACCCTCACCTTTCATTTCTGTATCCGAGTTAACATTTCACCCTGTTTTCCTGAGAATTAGAGCCATAAATGACATTTACTTTGCTTGTCATGCAAATGCATAGAAAACATCCAGCTTTACCTTCAAGGGTTAATAGAGGTCTTTGCAAGTTATTCCTATTTATCATAATAAAGGGCAAAAAAGACCGGAGAAAATGCATACATGCAGGTGAGTAAATTTCACTGCTCTGTACTTATTTGCGTTTATGTTCCCATTCTCCCACCTTTATTAATGTTTCTTCCTAGAGGGAAGAATATGGACTTGAAACCATGCGAAGGATTCATCCCAGCCCCCTGCTTTCTCTGCCATTTCAGAGGGGACCTTTTGGGTCTGGGAGTCTCTGTTTTCTACTTTCAAAGTGGGTTCTTAATGCTCAACTCTCGGGAAATAGATGGGATGAGAGCTGCCGGCTGAGAGCTGAGGACACAGGTCGGGTGGGTCCCTCCCTGAATGATTCCTGACCCAGGAAGATGCATCCTTTGCACTCACAGATGAATCTAAGGAGCAGCCCCAGCAGAAGGGACTTCCCAGCAGCCAGGAGAAGGGGAAGGAGGCCTTCAAACTCGGGGCAGTGCCTCAGAGCCAGAGGACAGTCTCCAGGGGAGAGACCCCTCCCCAATCACCTGCACAACAGTCTTGAAGGCAGGGGAGGGCTGCAGCCATCTCAAGAGGCCTGGAGCCTGCACTGACCCCATTCAAGGCTGCCTATGCCACGGTTTCCATCACGAACTAGAACCAAGCAGACTCCCAAGTGCTCAGGGAGCTGTAGCAATCAGAGGCCCCTCTCAGGACCCATATCTGTGTCCAGCCTCCCAGCTTCCCCTGCCTGGTGCACTCCCTGCTGGGGCTGAGCCCGCTCCTGTGTGGTCTGTGCCCGCACCCGCACCCTCCACCCGCCAACTCCCAGGGCACAGGCACCGTGTGCTGGAGAGTCCAGGTTTCCTCTGTCCACATCCCCCGTAAACATGTCATGGCCACTGGTGTTTGGAGGGAAAAGCTTTGGAACAGATTAGCTGCTCATGTCAAAAACAACCCAACTTTTTTTCGGCTGATCATGCGTGGAAATCCAAAAGCCTTGCTGCTTGGGACAGCTCAGTGCTCCCAACCCCGCTCATCTCCCCTCGGGGTGTAAACAAAGTTGGGGGATCCAGACTGACAGAGGAACTGGACCTCATCCTGCAGCCCAAGTGGCCTCTGTGAGGAGCACGTGGCTGAGGGGCCACTGTCACATTGTCCCGCAGAGGGTGGGAGTGGGAGGATGCGGGGACAGGGGTTGTCCTGCTTCCAGTTATTTGTCTTGCAATTGGTCCAGCACGTGAACATGTGCAATTCTTCAGATCAGCAACTCTTCTCGTACCAAGGCCTGTGTCTCCCCCTCATTTTGCAAGAATACACCTTTTGAGAAGTGGCCTGGAGCAGGTGGAGGTGTGGGGGCCCCAGCCTGCCCTCGGGGGACTCACCATCCTTGGCCACGTCCCCGATGGGCACACTGTGCTTCTGGGCCATGTACCCCAGGAAGGAGAAGACCACGAATCCCGAGGAGAAGCTCGTCAGGGAGTTGACCGAGGTGGTGATGATGGCGTCTCTGTGAGAACAAGACACCCAGGCCAGCGCTGGAGCAGCTGCCATTTCCAGTCATTATTCTCAGTTTACTACATGTTTCCTGCCAAGCGCGGCCAGGCCCTCCTGCAGCTGCAGAGCCTGTCCTCCGGCTGCGCTGCCCGTTGGGACGGGACCTCCCAGCTGCGGGTTCTGGGCTCTGGGCATGTCCTTATGGTGAGCAGCCGTCATGTTTGGCCGGGATGGCAAGGCTCCTGGGACACATGACTCAGTGCTGAAGGTGAGGTGGTCTGCACCAGCAACCCGGGGGCTCTGGGTGGACAAACAGATGGCCATGGGGGTCCCCACCCATGGCGAGGGAGCTGTTAGGCAGCAGGGATGTTGTTCAAATGCAGATTAGGACAGAGTGGGTTTGGGGGGCCCTAGATGTTGTATTTTCCTGCTGCTTCTGGGGGGCTGGTGCTGCTGGTCTGGAGACTCCACTCTCAGCCCTCCTGGGAGCCAAATGGAAGGACATTGCAGAGTGCCCGGCCTGAGGGCACAGGTGGGCTCAGGCAGGGCTGTGTTGGAAACAGCCGCCCAGAGTTCACCCTCTGTGGGAGCCTGGCAGCAGTCTGTCTGGTCATTTTGCTGTGCACACTCGCTGTCTTTGTATTTTACCACATTTTATCCTCAAGATATGAAAGAATATAAACATGAGCCTGTAGTCCTAGCCAGTCTGGCTCAGTGGATAGAGCATTGGCCTGTGGACTGAAGGGTCCCAGGTTCGATTCCAGTCAAGGGCACATGCCTGGGTTGCTGGCTCCATCCCCAGTGAAATCAATAAAAATATATTTAAACATGAGCCTGTAAAGGTCAAAGAAAGCAGGTCCCAGGTAAATTCTGTTTCTGTTTTTAGAAGGATTTTGGGTCCAACATGTGGCAGCAGCTAAGTCAGGTCATTCTGGGCCAGGTGGCATAGCCAAGATGCCACCAGGCTGTGGGCACACAGTGCTGCCACTTTCCTTCCTGTCCTGATGCTGGGTCATCTGGGTGCCTCTGCATAGGGTCTGGGATACCCTGCGGGACCCAGGCTCCCAGGTGCAGGCCAGGGGACTCATTTAGGTGCTTCACTGTGGGGGTGTCTGGAGGAGGAGCCTGACCTGGGCTTTGGGAAGAGGAGGGAGGCAGGGGGAGAGGAGGAGTCAGGGGTGGGGCCTCGGGGGGAATCTGCTGCTCCTGGGATTTAGGAGGCTTCCTTGCAGGGAGGTGATGCACATCTTCATGTGTTTCAATAACTTCCTGAAAGCAAGGACCAGCATTTTGCCTGTAGCTTCCCCATTTTAGTTTTCACTTAAAAAGCCATTTGGCTCAGTGGTTTTGCACACAGAGCTTACTTCCCCTTGCTTTCTACTGGGCACATATTGTGATACCCCCACCCCCATATCAGTGATGCACATTGATTTCTGCAGACCATCTTATGGGAGGGAATGGGACAAGAGCTCAGAACCTACCTGTAGCAGTTGTTGGTGAATTTATTGTAACTGGAGAAGGCGATTAGCACCCCAAACCCAATGCCCAGTGAGAAGCATATCTGGGTGGCAGCATCGATCCAAACCTGCAGCCAGAGGGGAATGAGCGGCTGTTGGAGATAATTGCGGAAGTGAGGGCCAGCTGTCGCGAGGCAATTGTGCAATTGTGCAAAGACCGAAGCCTCAGCTCCCTGTCCTCCCTGCAGGTGTCTCCTGCTGAGATGCCTCCAGCTCCATAGAACAGGGTGGAATTTAAACGCCATTATCAACAAGCACCTGGCATCAACAACATGATCAGAGTCATAGGCGTCTCAGGGAATAAACCTTCCTGTGTCACTGGCCTGAAGGACCGTGATGAAAAGGAACCACGTCTTCGTGCATTCTTTGCATTTGCCCACACGACCACAGTTACTTTATTATGAATCAGTGCTGGCATCTGTTTTGCTTCCTCGTGCATGTTGCCTGGAGCCGTGTCTGGGCCTCAGCTGCATTTCCTCTCTCTCCAGTCATCCAGCTCCCTCTCCCTTCACCTCATCTCGCCTTCCTCCCATGGCTCCTGCAGCCACTTCCCCTCCTGGGGCTTCCTGGGAGCTGAGCCACACCCTGTCATTCTTCCCTTTTCTGCCTCAGGGCTGCTTCTTCCTGAGTCCCTAGTGAGCCCCACACTGCCTCTCATTGCAACCTAGCAGCATAAGGCAGCCCCTTCCAAAGGGGCCCCTACCCCCAACCTGGACCTTCCCCTCCTGACCACATGGCCTTCCACACCTAGTACTCCCCGGGTGGCTTCTGGAGTCCCACCATCTGCCCATCTAGTGCACCTGAATTTGCACCCATTCCCTTTGGAAAGCTGCCATTCCCATTACCCCTACACCCACTGGCCAGCGGTAACCATCATTTCTGAGCTGTCTCCCTGCAATGCCACCCCTTCTCTCTCTTTCTCCGGAGACCCCTCTCCCATGACCCGGCCAAGCCTCTGCTCTCCAGGAGGCTGCCTCCAGTACTGCTTCCTTTGCCGAAGAAACATGCAGCCTGACTCCAGAGTTAGTGTTTTAGATCATGCTCTTGTGCTGGGGGCACTGGAATGTTTCACCACTGAGGTCTGGCTTCCCGAGGAGGAGCCCTGGTTCCTGCGATATCTCAGCCTTGCTGGGCCGATGGACAGGGAGCTGGGGCTCAGGCTGCATTCCAGGCGAGTGGCAGAGCTCGCTGGCACAGACTGGGCAGGGCCATCGGTGCTTATCCGGGAACCCAAGAGCATTCCTCCGGGACATGGGATGGGACATGGGGAAGAGGTCAATAGGCAGGAGCCTTCATCCTATTTCTGCGAAGACCCGGCAGGTGACCTTTCCCCTAACTGCCTTCTTCTGGTCCATTGAGCTCTCCTGAATCGCCCATCTAGTCCACCTGAATTTGCACACACTCCCTCCTGTCCATTCCCACCCCCCTTCTCAACAAGACGGTGAACTCTACGGGTGGGATCAGGTTTACACATTGCCCTGCAGAACCTCGCACACAGCAGGGCAGCCAGCACCTGCTGGATTTATAGGGCGAGTGAGAAATTCCAGCCCAGGTTCTGCCATTGGGATCTCCTGCCCCAAGCATGGGGACCCCCTGACACCGTGCCTGCCAGTCCGCATGGACTGCAGGGTCGCGAGCGGTGGGCATACTCACGGACGCCTCACAGAGCCGACGGAAGTCAACGCTCAGGTACGCCCTGATGCCGTCCATGGCTCCAGGGAGAGTGATTCCTCGCAGGAGCAAGGCGAAAAGGACCACGTATGGCATGGTGGCCGTGATCCACACGACCTGGGGAGAGGACAGCGTCACCGGGCTGCACAGGCCACCTGCTGGCATGGAGTGGGCACAGCGTCACCCTGATGGTTGGTGCTAGGAGAGAGGTGGCCTCTGATTGAGAGCCCCACATCCCGAACATTCACAGGACGCCCGCTCAGCAGATGCTCACTGAGGGAGGCCATCATGCCTGCTACTCTGTGCATCTTTCCCAGGGATTAAAAGAGGACAAACCATTTGGCAAGGAAGGAGCATTTCCTGCTCTGTATTTGGTCTGTCACAGCAGGAGTGGCTGGATTTCTGATGAGTGAGATGTGAGCAAGTTTCACTTAATTGTGCGAACGTGCACCTGGATTACATGTAAAGGATGGATTCCGGGCTCCAGAGGGAGGAAAGGCACGCTCACTATCAAAAGGTTCCCATGTGCTGGCCCTTCACTACATGTATCATCACACCTGATGAACACATTCTGGTCAAAAGTGCTTTGGGTGCCCAGATAACAGCCAAAATATTGTCATCAGCAAAAACCAATTTATGCTGCGCTTGTCTCAATGCTGAAAGCACTCTGCTGTGCTTTTCCCTTGATGCCATTTCTCAACCACAGTCTTGCGCTGACTCCTCAACTCAAACACAGACCCCCTGTCAGCTACCCAACCCACCACAGCCACCCCTCCCCTTCACAACCATCCGTCCACAGTCCACCTGCCATGGCCTACCCTTCCACCGTAAACCCCATGACAGCCCCCTGTTCACTCCCTGCCATGGCCTGTGTCCACTCCCCCCATGGCCTGTGTCCACTCCCCCCATGGCCTGTGTCCACTCCCCCCATGGCCATGTGTCCACTCCCCCCATGGCCATGTGTCCACTCCCCCCATGGCCTGTGTCCACTCCCCCCATGGCCATGTGTCCACTCCCCCCATGGCCTGTGTCCACTCCCCCCATGGCCTGTGTCCACTCCCCCCATGGCCTGTTTCCACTCCCCCCATGGCCTGTGTCCACTCCCCCCCATGGCCTGTGTCCACTCCCCCCATGGCCTATGTCTACTCCCCCCATGGCCTGTGTCCACTCCCCCCATGGCCATGTGTCCACTCTTTCCCATGGCCTATGTCTACTCCCCCCCATGGCCTGTGTCCACTCCCCCCATGGACTGTGTCTACTCCCCGCCATGGCCTGTGTCCACTCCTCCAATGGCCATGTGTCCACTCCCCCCATGGCCATGTGTCCACTCTCCCCCATGGCCTGTGTCCACTCCCCCCATGGCCATGTGTCCACTTCCCAGTTGGCTAGGCTCAGCCTCACCTTCCCCGAAGTCTTCACCCCCTTCCACAGGCTGAAGTAGAGCAGGACGATGACCAGCACCAGGCAGGATGTGAGCTGCCAGCGGGGAGGGCCCAGGTCGCCGATGCCGCGGCTCTCATGGAGGTGCAGCACGCCGCGCCTGGAGAGGGAGAAAGGTGGGGGGCCTAGAAGAGCACTGCTTCCCCACCCAGAACTGTAACCAGACAGCTGAGCTTGCCCAGAGACTGTCCTCCCCAGCGCCACATGGCAGACAGGACCCAGCCTGGCAGGGCCAGAGACCCCCTGCCCCCCTCTGAGAAGGACCAGGCCCAGCAGTCCTAGCTGAGATGCGGGGTATATCCTCCAGGTGAGGGAGAGGGTGTGCTGGGAGCCCACAGAAGCCCAGCCCTGCCCCTCAGCACCCTGCGTTTGGAACTGGGGAGGGAATGGGTGCCTTGGGTCTTTGAAGAAAGAGCTTCAGAAACCAGAGGGAAGGTGTCAGCAAGGTGGTGGCCGCTGCTGCACACGAAAGGTCCAGGCCCTTTACAGGGCTGAGGCTGAGTGGACCTATAGTAACAGGTGTCTGCGCTGCTCTCCGAGGGTGACAGTTGACGAGAGCTGTCCAGCTGTTGAGGAGGATTCTGCGGGAATAGACTCAGGATGAGTCTGTGCCAGGTTTGCTCAAGAACTTTCTGGTAGTGGGATCCGCCACCATAAAGACAGAGCATAAGGCCACATGGGAAGGGGACAGAATGGCCAGTAGAGCCCTCCCTGTGGGCCAGGCAGGGGTCTGAGGCACTTTCCACACAGTATCTCATTAAATCCTGTGACAGCCTGCGGGAAAGGTGCCATTGTGTCCACCGTGCATCTGCCGCCTCCCCTCCCAGGCAGGACTGTGAGTCAAAGCTCAGCCAAAGGCTGTGCTGCTGCCCAGGCAGTGGAGGAGCCACACTGTGAAAAGGGCCATCACCACGGGATTTGCGAGGTCCGAGCAGATCTTCCTGGCACCATGGGAGAATGCCGCAGACCGCAGCGTCCCAGAACCTTCACCAGCTGCAGGCACCTCGGGGTACGTTGGAGAAGTTCGGGTCTTCACACAGTCTTGGGACAGGAGAGGCTGTGACAGGCAGGGAGAGCCCAGCGCAGCACTCCTGTTCCGTCCCAAACCCGGCATGGCCCAGGTTGGCCTGCAGTGTCTGAACTGTCATCACCATCTCTTCTTTACGGAGCGCAAGATACACGCTGAAGTGAAAGGAATCTCCTCACACTGTCCGATAGCAGTGTGGGATCTGGGATAGGGAGCTGCTTGGTCAGGCAGAGGAGGGGGCCACTGGCAGCCTGCGGTGCCCTGCCTGCCCTCCTGGAACCTGCCCTCCTGGGGCCTGCCTCACCTGGGACCTGCCCTCCTGGGGCCTGCCTCACCTGGGGCCTGCCCTCCTGGGGTCTGCCTCACCTGGGGCCTGCCCTCCTGGGGTCTGCCTCACCTGGGGTCTGCCTCACCTGGGGTCTGCCTCACCTGGGGCCTGCCCTCCTGGGGCCTGCCTCACCTGGGGCCTGCCTCACCTGGGGCCTGCCTCACCTGGGACCTGCCCTCCTGGGGTCTGCCTCACCTGGGGCCTGCCCTCCTGGGGTCTGCCTCACCTGGGGCCTGCCCTCCTGGGGTCTGCCTCACCTGGGACCTGCCCTCCTGGGGTCTGCCTCACCTGGGGCCTGCCCTCCTGGGGCCTGCCTCACCTGGGGCCTGTCTCACCTGGGGCCTGCCCTCCTGGGGTCTGCCTCACCTGGGCCTGCCCTCCTGGGGTCTGCCTCACCTGGGGCCTGCCTCACCTGGGGCCTGCCTCACCTGGGGCCTGCCTCACCTGGGACCTGCCTCACCTGGGCCTGCCTCACCTGGGGCCTGCCTCACCTGGGACCTGCCCTCCTGGGGCCTGCCTCACCTGGGGCCTACCCTCCTGGGGCCTGCCTCACCTGGGGCCTACCCTCCTGGGGTCTGCCTCACCTGGGGCCTGCCTCACCTGGGGCCTGCCTCACCTGGGGCCTACCCTCCTGGGGTCTGCTTCACCTGGGGCCTGCCCTCCTGGAACATGCCCTTCCAGGGCCTGCTTTACCGGGGTCAGTAGAACTCCCCGTGTCTTTCTCTCCTCTTTCCCTCACCTCAGCCCTGGCTCTGTGTCTGCTGTCCATGCTCCCTCCTCACCTTGCCCTGGAGCCCCTGCCAGGCCTTATCACCTGAAACCTCTTTTCACCAATGAGAGAAATCTCCTTGGAACAAAACCATCTGCCCAGTGAGGCCACACATTGTGTGGGGCCCGGACCAACCCCTACATACAATCCAGCTACGTCTTGCACACACGGGCGTGGGTTACACACCTAACCCTTTTGCCTGGGAAAGGAGCACGGTGGCCCACAGGGGTCACAGCCTCCGAGGCCTGAGAGGGTGCGGCTGGGAGAAAGCACGTGGCTCTCCTCAGGACTGATTATGAACTGCTTCTAGGATGCTGTACACACTGGTTTTACCTCAGACACTTCAGGCTGCTTTGAGAATTAGCCCCTTGTCTGTGCTGGCCAAGTCCCTTCCCCAAGACTAAAAAGTCCTCTTGTTTGAAGTTGTGTGAAATCCCACAGACACTCCAGAGGACAGGCCCTGCAGAAGCTGTCAGCTGGAGAGGAGCCGGCAGCACCACACTGCGTGGGACAGCCACGCCAGGCACTGCAGGATGCCTTGGGGCACAGGGAAGGGCAGGTGCTTCCCAAGAGCAGGCGCACAGTAGGATGAGGACAGGACGTCTGAATAAGATAGTTTGGGGCTGAAAAGCAGACATTTCTAGAGTGTAAGTGGCCTGGAGGACCAAACAGGGATGGCCTGGGATGTCACCAGCCTCGGCAAAGATCTAACACTTCCACTTCCTGCAGCTTTCCTTCTCCAGGTGTGTTTATTGTCGTGGTTCTTGGATCCGGATAAGGGAGCCTTTGAGGCGGGCCAGGTATGCACTGGGCTGCACCTACACTGTCACGTTGGATCCCCACTGCAGCTGTGTTGCCCCATTTACAGCAAGGAACCCAGGAACTGAGAGGGTAAGAACACTATCCAACCCAGAGACAGCCAGCAGCAGAGCCAGGACCTGGACCCCGGCAGCCTAACTCTGAACCTGTGCTCTGCCTGGGGGTGTGGGAGGGGATGGCTGCCATGGAAAGGAGGTGAGAGGCCTCCACTCTGGCCATGAGGGATTGTCATCATACCAACTAGAAAGCTGGACAAAGTACACCAAATGAGTATTTGCAGATGTGGGACTGGAGATGACAACGCCCCACTTCCCACCTGGAGGCACCTCCCCCCCTCCCCAATGAGCACAGCATGGGGTCTTGCTGGGTAGAGCTTAGGGAGTCTCAGGTGCTGACAGGCTCTCCACAGGAGCCCACTGACTCAGCCACAGGGTGAGACCCTGCAGGTCTCTGAGCCCAGGCAGGGCTGAGGCCCACTGAGCTCCCCAGCCACGGTAGAGGACTTGCCAATCACATGGAGAGCTCAGTAGACCCTGGAAGGGTCACTGCAGTAGAGGTGATAAACCATTCCCAAAGCAAAGGCTGCCCAGAAGCATTTCAACAAGTTTCAAAAAGAGAAAATTGTACCACCAGCAAATTAACTTCCTACCAGAACAAATCCAACACTCATTACAGGAAGATTACAAAATTACTAGACAACAAGAAGCAAGAAAATGTGACCTACAGCCAGGAGAAAATCGATCCATAGCTTCCTCATACCAAATACAAAAAGCCACTCAAAAGGGTAAAAGACTAAATGTGAGAGCTGAAATTATGGAACTCTTGGAAGAAAACACAGGCATAAATCTTTAAGACCTTAGGTTTGGCAATGGACTTTTTATAAAAAAAAAAATCAATTTATTTAAACAAACAAAAAAACCCCAGTTCATTCATTTGGTTCTAACCCCCACCCCTACCTATAGAAGCACCAATCAGTTCTCCGTATCTATGAGCTTAGATTGTTTTTGTTGAGTTTGGGCTATGAATTTTTTGATAGGGCACCAAAAGCACAAACAATAAAAGGAAAAAATAAATAACTGACTTTATCAAGATTAAAAACTTTTGTGCATTAAAGGACACTATCAACCTCCAAAAATATCTTGTGAATCAAAGATAGATCACAAGGCAGATCAGGGAACACTTTGAACTGAATGAAAATGAAAATACAACATATGGAATATTGCTAAAGCAGTCTCTTAGAGGCAAATTCGTAGCTTTAGATTTGTAGCTTTATAATTTATATTAGAAATTAGGTGAAGGCCTGCTCAGCCTTCCATCTGTGCTGAGGACTCATGCTAGCTTTGTCCCACAAAAACCCCAAGGGAACGGAACACGGGCACAAGACAAAGAAAGGGTCCTCTCACACCCCTGTGAGGCAGCAGGGGCGGGTGGCTGGCCCCTGGGCTGCCATAGAGAGCTTGGCTCTGCGTCCTTCCCTTCCTGAGGCAGCCACAGCAACTGAGGAGTCATCGCACCCCGAGGAGCAGACCTCTTACTTACTCAAAGTACTCGGCGGCAGGCGTGGTCCTGAAGCTGTCGTTGAGGCCCGAGCCGTCACTGGTGTTGCCGAAGTAGGAGTCTGTGCAGTTGGGGCTGTTCCAGGTGTTGTTGCAGTGGGTCCAGGGCAGCTCCATGGTGAAAGAGGAGAAGAAGTAATGCAGCGCCCAGGCGATGATGACGTTGTAGAAGAAGCCAACGTAGAGCGAGATCAGAATGACCGTGAAGCCCACACCTAGGGTGGTGAGAGCACAGCCACCGTCAACAGAATGCCCCTTCCCACCTTCCCTTACAGGAGACACTGCCACCTGTGCCAGCTGTTCGCCACCATCCTAATATCAGGCAACATCTTTAAATACACAGGGGAAGATACGTGAAAGGGCAGATGCTGGACTTTATGCTGTGACCACAGAGAGGGGCTTCCCCCTTCCAAGACCATCTATGGCCATCTCTGTCCACTCAGAGACATTCAGAGTGTCTCTGAGGGACATTCAAGATCTGAAAGGCCACCCAGGCTCATTGAAGGGTATCTAGAATCACATGGTATGCCTAGGGACATGAAGAGTCATCCAAGAACATGTAAGATCATCTAAGGCCACCCTGGTAGAACAAGTCATTACACACAGACATACAGGGCAACTAAGGGCCATCCACAGCTATCCACTGCCACTCACAACCACTCAGGATGAAACAGGACCATCCAGGCTCACTTAAGGTCATCTAGGGTGGCCCTGGGTTCACTGAACAATCCAACCCAGAGTTATCCAGCACCACGAGGCCATGCAAAACCATCAGAATCATTCACTGCCACCCGTGGCCACCCAGGATCATCTAAGGGCACCCAGAGATACAAAACACCAACAAATGTCAACAAAGGCCACCCCAAACCACTCAGCATCACCCAGAAACCTTCTGGGCCACCTATGATAATAGGGTTATCAAAGGCCATCCAGGGGCACACAGGAATACTCAGTGATTTCCAGAGCCATGCAGGGACAGCGAGAGCCATCCAGAGTTACCAGTAGTCACTAAGGGACAACTCGATTCCTCCATGGCCACCCACAGCCACCCAGGCTCATCTAGGACAACTAAGACCATCCAGAACCACCAGGGCTCATCCAGGGCCACCCAGAGCCATCCAGGGCCATTCATGGCCACCCATAGCTACTCAAGACTACCCAGGGCAAACAAGGTCATATGAGTTCATTCATAGCTACCTAGGGCCACCCAAGGGCACCCAGGGCCATGCATGACCATTCTAGGTGCCTCTTCTCTAAACATGAAAGTCTAGTGTTCTTGCGCTGATTTGTTTATCTCCTCGATGAGCACAGCCCTGTGCTGGCTGCACAGATTCCCAGTCATTAGCTGACTTTCTGTGGTTTTCGATTCCCTCAATCCCAGGTTAGGAGACAGGTGACCAGGATCCGACCGAGATTCTACCCACAGGGGCCACATGGCACATCCTCCAGTGGCCTCAGCTCAGCCCTCCACACGGATGAGTTTCCAAAACTGGACAAAAGCCAACATGAGCTGCTAGAGCAGCGGTTCTCAACCTTCCTAATGCAGGGACCCTTTAATATAGTTCCTCATGTTGTGGTAACTTCCAACCATAAAATTATTTTCGTTGCTACTTCATAACTGTAATTTTGCTACTGTTATGAATCGTAATGTAAATATCTGATATGCAGGATGTATTTAGGCGACCCCTATGAAAGGGTCATTTGACCCCCAAAGGGGTCATGACCCACAGGTTGAGAACTGCTGTGCTAGAGTGTGACAGTGAGGCTGGGACTCCGAGTGAGTTACCGAGGTGCACCGTGTCTGCCGACTTCTCCTCCGGGTTCTGATACTGCTGGACCAAATGCACCCATCCGTGGTCTCAGCTTCTCTAGAATGGGATGCTGACAGTCATACTTCCTGTATCGACCCCAATTCATTAGGATTTAGCAGCGCTTTGAAATCCTTGGATACTATTTATTGACATTTTATAAGCAGCAATATAACAAATCACTTCAGCAGCTTTCTTGGAGAAAACTTTTTGTGGCAGGAAAAAGCTGAACATCAGCTTCCACCTGCTGGCCTCCACCCCTGTGGGGCCACCGTCCTTTTCGCCTTCTGCAGGCCCTCACCCGTGGGTGCTCCAGAAAGAAGCAGATTTACTTTGACTCAGTGCTAGACTACCGGAAGCTGATCCACCCTGGCTGCTTGACGCAGTCGCTGCAGGGAAGAAACATTTGCACAGCTTATGTTTTAAGGGACCTGGCGTATATGGCATACTGTTCTTAATATGTTTGCTCCCCCTCTTAACGCTCCCCGAGAAAGGTTGTTTCCCCAGGTGAGGATTTTTATCATTAAAACCCCTTAACTAAGTGCCAGAAGGGTAGTTAATCACTTTAACTACGAACAATCAGGCTTAAGCTACATAATCTGTACATAGAATAACCTCCTTCAGTTACTTCCTTGTAGCTTAATAGAACAATAGAGTAACTTTGGAATGGAGATAAGAAACGCCCTAATCTTTGGAATAGAATGGATAGGATTAAGATCAAATAGGATAAATACAAATGTAAGAGGACAATAGAGGAACCTGGCTAAGAGGAACCTTGCCTGACGATGACCTGAACGCTGCCTCTGTGTCATTCCTTCTTCGCCGACTCCGTCCACACCTTGGGGAACCCCTGGACCCGCTGGGGCTGGACTCCAGCACTAGACTCCCCAGAGGAGGTGGGAGCACAGAGCTGTGTCCTGTAAGAAACTATGACAGACAGACTTCGGACTGGAAGGACGTGCTTCTTGGAAACCCAGAGATATGAACTGATCCCACTACAATCTGCGTCACAGCTGGAGGCATCCTTCTTCAGCACTTCCCCAGATGGTCACTGGGGATAGACACGCTTAATTTCCAACTGGGCGCTTGAATGCTCTATAAATACTGACCACAGCGAAAGCTCATTGCCATGCTCGGCCGTGTGACATGTCAGTGCTGCCCAGCAGAGAACACGATTAACTCATTTGTGTCTTGTCTGTTAGCCTGGGTTCGCTGCCCTCGGTGGCGCCGGCATTGGGCCAGTACAAGGCGCGGAAATGTCCAGGCTGACACCTGCAACTCTCAGTCATAGGTGCCCGGGGTCTTTAGGTACCTGCACATTTCTCCTCGGGGGAATCAAGGATGGTGCCGGAGGCAAGTCTCAGGCAACTCATTTGAGCTTTGACTTCTGTGTGCAAACTGCACAAGGGAACACCCAGCACCTGGCACTTGAACCCAGAGCTGTCCGAATCTCGCTCTGAAGTTCCACTTGAGGGTGGGCATGAATCATTTTGGCCTCGGAAAATAATGCTAATGTTTTAAGATTCACCCAGCAGCCCATTAAGCAGGAATAACACACGGTGCCTGGAGGAGCTGTCACGCCCGGCCGGTCTCAGCATTTCCGCTGTGGGAGGGCGATTCCCCCATGGAGACGGACTGCAGCAGCTGTGCCATGTCCTCACTCCCGCAGCTGATCAGTCTCTATCTGAGCACACACCCCGACCCACCCATGCGGCATCCTGGGAGGGACAATAGGGCTTCTATTTTCTTCAGAACATCAACTTTTCAAGAAACTCTAAGAAAATCCAAATCCTGGTCTTTTAATAGCCATTTTCCTAATGAACCCAGCTGTCTGCACCAAGTACCTTCTCCGGTCTCTTTGAGGAAATACCCCTGAATCCTGCGCCATCAGCTCCTGTTGGCCCCACGGGAAGTCAGACAGGATTCCATCCCACCCTGCCCGACTAGGTGACAGGGGCCAGTTACTCAAGCCCCCTAATCTCAGTGCCTACATCTCCAAGACACACAAGACAGCGCGTCCCCTCCCCAGGGCTCTCATGAGGATGGAGCGAGGGAACCGGGGAGGGTTAGTCACCGGGACTCAGCATGATGTATGTTTGCTTCATGGTGCCATGGCGTCTCAGTAGCAGCCTGGAAGGCTCAGTGAATAACTAGACAGTTAGATAGATTATGGATAAATGATAGATAATAGGTGCTATGATAGATAGGTAGGTAGATAGTCGAGCTGCTAAATTACTAAAGTCAGGTAGATTGAGGCATGAGAAAATAATTCTGTTGTTTTAAGTAGCCTGGGAGCTTAAACCTTTGAACATCCAGTCCTGCATCAATGCCTGGATATACATCAAACCTCCCAATAACCCTGATTACCCCCGAAGGACTAGGGATAGGTGTCCAGGCCGTCTGACATCCACTATCCAGACCACTGGTCATCCAGAGGATTCCCAGCTCAGACCAACCTGGGGACTAAGAATGCAGGACTGATTCTTCTCAGTTGTACTTTTTAATACAAGAACCTCAGTTTTTCTTTCTTCTTCAGAACACTCTAGCTATTGCCTAGTTGTGTTTCCAATTTGTAAGCCCTATGACTCTTGAATACATCTTTATCATTTATTTCTAGCCAGAGCCTCCTGATTTTATTTATGTTCAGATGACATTTCATAGATAGATAGACAGGTGTTATACATAGATGATAAATAGGTAGGTAGGTAGATGATAGATGGTTGAGAGATAGATGAATGATATATGAATGATACGTAGATAAATGGACAAATAGATAGATTATAGCTAGATATGCAAATAGATTGATGGATGGATACATAGATTATAGCTAGGTAGCTGACATATGGACAGATAGAGGTTTGATCTTAGGACCAAAATTCAAATGGTGTGTTCACATGCGTAGACATTTAGCAAAGCACTACGGACTGCACACGACTTGCATGGATTTGCTTTGAAAGCTCTAGAGCCGCAGCCTGGTCTGTGCCACGCCAGGTGCGAGGACGTGTGCCTACCATTACCTTTGAGTACAGGGCAGATCTTCCAGACGCCGGCAGCTCCCTCCCTGTTGAACTGCCCGAGGGCCAGCTCCATGTAGAAGAGCGGCATCCCCGCAATGACCATGAAGAGCAGGTAGGGGACCAGGAAGGCGCCTGTGGGACAGGACAGCATGGTCACTGAGGGCCTCAGGGCTCAGCCATCTCCACCAACTACACCCGTCTTGGCCCTGACCACAGTCCCTGTCCCTGTTTGTCCTGAAGCTCCCTGCCTGGCCACCTTCCAAGGGAAGCCACAGGCTGGGTGGGTGAGTGTCCTCCATCCATGCCTAGCCCGCTGTCATCAGTGCTCCGAACCCCTCTAAAGCTCTCAAAGTAAGCGCGCCCCTACTGAACCCCCAGTGTCCCAGGTTATGGAGTCAACCCCCAAGAGCACAGAGATGAGGCCCTGCCCACACTGTGGCTCCTTCCCCATCTTTGGTCCCTCTTGCTCCTCTGTGGAATGTCTAACCCTCTTGAGTTGTGACTCTTCTGGGATCTGTGGGCCACCTCATTTGAAACCCGCCTCGACCGGAGGCTGCAGCCCCTCCAGGGAGGTGCTTGTTCCTCTTGGAGCTGCATCCTGCCTCGAGAACAAAGTCCAGGGCCCCAGGCTCTGCTTCCTAAAGGCCTGCCTCAAACGAGAGGTGGCTTTGCCAGGGCCCTCTTCCTGGGACGGGGAGGGAGGCAGGGAGACCCTGCAGCTCTGTCTGTCCTTGGGCAAGTTAATGCACTGCTGAGGCCTCGGTCTTCTCCCCTCGACCTGGGAAGAGTAATGCCAACCTACCCACGGGCATGCTGGAGGGCCATCCTGGGACCGTCTTCCCAGCCCTTCCTCTGTGCGGGGTGGTGTGGCCAGGGACTCAGATAGGCCATTAGGGAAATAGAGCGCCAGGAGGGTGGGCATGACCTCCAACTTAACTGGTTTCTCAACTTGAATTTTTGGGGTGATCCTGCCCTGTACCTTAGTTTTCTGCCTGGAGTCCAAAGACAGTTATGGTTCTAGGATTGGTTGAGTTCAGGAAGAAGTGGGAGCAGGGGTAGGGGAAGGGCAGGGCATCTTCCACCACTCCAAGCTCAAGGGCCTCACTCCGTAAGACTGTGTTCAGTCACCCTTCTGTGGCCTTTTCTTTCCAAAGTGAAAAGCACCTTTGGAAAAAGAAGGCAGGATGACAGTGCCTCCAATGGCTAACTCCTGCTTCCTCTCTCCTGGCCTCAGTATCCTCAACTATGAAGACCTGACATGGAGTGAGATTGCTCTGGACTCTGTTTCTATGTCTCTGTGACATACAGCTAGGGAGTCTGTGCCCGGCTAATGCTAAGTTACAACCCAGTGCCATGTTGCCAGAGTGCGCCCGTTGCCTAGGACTCCAGTCGAGCCGGAGAGCACAGAGAGGACGGGCGGGCAGGGACTCACCCCCGCCGTTTTTGTAGCACAGGTAGGGAAACCGCCAGACGTTGGCCAGGTCCACTGCGAAGCCAATCACCGAGAGGAGGAAGTCTATCTTCTTGCTCCAGGTCTCCCGTTCCTGGGGCTCCACCGGGGTCTGTGGGGAGTTGACGAGGGTGGAGTTGGTGAGCTGCACCCCATTCTGTTCCTTGACCAGGACAAGTTCCACCGCCTTCGGGCACAGGGCGTTGGGCTCCTTAGCCGGGGCCACCACGGAAGGCATCAGTCCCACTGGGCATTTGCTTCTACTCATGGGCAGACTGGATGGAATCTAGGATTCTGTGCTTCCTCCCTCTTGGTCTTCAGCCAGCATGAAAAATAAACACACATCGGAATGCAATGAGTTAGTAGCCAGAACTGCAGATGTACCCAGTGGCCAGAGCAGAGGTCCAAGGCATTTATAATCATTTCTTTGGGGCAGAACAAATACATTCCAAGCAGCCAGGGGTGAGGACGACAGGAGATGAGTTATTGCTCCTGGGGGCTGGGGGAGATGAGCTGTGGGAACCTCAGGACAGACATCTGCTCTGCCCCCTTCCCTGGCTTTCCTCTCTAGTCCAATGGAAGTGCAGGGCTTGTGTAATCTCTAACTTTGCTTTTAACAATAATATAAGTGGTTGCCCCTGCCATACCCCATATTGCAGGGAGAGATTTACAGTCTTTAAATAGCATTCAATAGTAAGACTTTACAAGAGTGCACACCTATTCTTTCCATCATAGCAAAATCACCCACAGCAATGAAAAGCTGCAATAATGATTATAACAGTTTCTCCAAGGAATGCCTACATGACCCATGTACACCTGTGGCCCGGCGGCTCGCCGGCCCCACCTGGAAGAGACCGCATCATGTCAGCATTCACCTGAGGGACCATGAGCTCCTACACTTAGCAACTTTACCAGGGAGCTCCTTTCCAAGCCCTGGACAATGCCGTCGGGGGAACAGAAGAAATTCCACGGGGACAGCTGGGAGCAAGCTGGGCCCTTGGGGCCAAGAGCGGCTTCAACTTTAACTTCTGGCATTTGGATCCTGCAACAGCTCACGCACAGGTGCACGCACATCTGCTCGCTCACACGCGCACGCACACCGTGGTTGAAGCAGAAGCATAACAGGATGGAGTTTAATGGGAGTGTTTTCCACTGTCTCCACGTTTGAACAAGAGCTCACAACTTACGGTCTGTATGCACCACTCCTCTGTGGCCCCGTCCCCTCTGGTGACAAACCCAACAGCGCATTCCTGAGAGTAGGAAACATGGCCAAGGGGCTGCGTCTGCTGGGAGGCAGGTGAGATTGGCCTGCCGTGCGGTGCAGGTGGAGGGGCTGGAGCTGTAGAGGTGGCAAATTCCCGCCTTTTTGCTCTGACAAGGGCCCTTGCAGTCCAGTCTGGCCACCTGCCAGGGAAGCCCGCACCCAGCACTTGGGGTGAGCTGACCCACTCCTGGAGCAGTGGCCTCAGAGTCAGGTCTGCGTCAGGAAAGCAAAATGTGGTCTCGCAGAGGAGCACAGCTGGCTCATACATGGCTGTGGTTCGTTGGTCTGTCCCTGGCTGCGCCTGTAATTAGCCTGGAAGCACAGCTCCGAGCCCCTCCTCTCACCTTCAAAATCAAAGACAAAACCCTGCACGATGGAGCATTGGCTGCAATATCACCCGGATCGGATCCGGGGCGCTCCGCCCAGTCCCATTCGCCCAGGACCGCGTCTGGTTCAACAGGCAGGAGTCGGTCACAAACAGCTGGCGCCCTGGTGCCGGCGCCTCAGGGAAGCCGCCCCTTCCCGCTATCCCAGGAGCTGGCGCATCCCTGGAGCCGGGCGCGGCCGGGGAACCGGGCGCTCACCATGCAGGGCCAGGGCCAGGGGTCACGGGGCGCGCATCAGCCCGCAGGCCCCCTGGTGCACTCACCTCTCAGCCACCGATCGCCTTAAAGTCTCCAGAGGCACTGCCTGTCGGAGCGCGCTGTGCACCCTGGCTATGAGCCACTTTTGGAGACGCTGTCGTCTGAGGAACGCGGCGCCTCCTGACGGTGCCCGTCCCAGCCCTGTCCTCCTCGGCTGTAACCTTGGGGTCCAGGGAGCGAACGACGAGCCCGAGGATGCGCGGGGTCGCCCGTGTGGGAAGTCACCTCGGAGTGCCCGGGCCTTACCTGCCCTCCCGGCCTCGGCTCTGCTCTGGGGTCCTGCCGCCAGGCGCCCGCGGAAGCTCTGGCTCGGGTCCCGCTGCGCTGGGCGGTCTCAGCCTCCAGGCTCTTATCTTGTCGCCGCCCCGCCTCGCCCCGCCCGCTGTCGGGGGCGCACGCCGGCCAGGCTCCGTTTCCCCGCCGCCCTGGGTGGGCGGGGGACGAGCCCTGCCGCGCCCTCAACCCGCCCCTAGACAGTGGGCAGGAGCCGGTGCCCACAATCCCCGCCCGCAGAACACTCTGCCCCAGATCTTGCCTGTCCCGGAGCCTCAGATGCTTGGGGGCCGGGACACCTGTGGGTCCAGGCATGGCCGGCAGGGGGGGGGGTGGGGGTGGGGGAGGGGGTGGGGGTGGGGGTAGGGTGGTTGGGCCTGAGCCTGGCCAAGACTGTACTCTCCCTCCCCCCAGCCCTCAGTGGCCCAATCCCCACCTGATGCTACACTTCTCCCCAACACCCAGCTCCACAGACTCCTCTCCTGTGGGGGTCCCCTTCCGAGATCCAGCGCCCAGGGGACCTCTCCCATGGAGTCCAGGCAGGTGATGTCCTGTCTGCATGCCCAGCCTGGCTGCAGCGACCTCTGCCTTGCCCTGACCTGCAGCTGAGCGCCGGGGTCTCCCAGCCTGAAGGTACCAGGTACCAAGCTGCGGAGACCTGGTCCTTCTGTGGCCGCACTGCCTGGGCAGGCAGCATGGGGTGAGTAGCAGGAGGTCTTGGCGGTTTGTGCCTGCAGCTATCGATTGGCACCAAGGGGCTCGACTCCTGCTCTCGTTGCAAGCCGATTTCCCCCCGAAGGCCTGGTGGTCAGTGCTAGTTCCAGAACCGAACAGAGTCGGAACCTTCCTAGCCCAGATGCCCTCTGCAAGATTTCACATCAAGACGCAGAGGAATGGAGACCCCAGGCCACCAGGCCAGGTCCAGATCCCCCAGGTGTAGGATGGCTCCAAGGTGAGTGGTGGCCTCTGGTATGGCAGCTGGCTGGTGACCCAAGTTCCAGGCATTAACAGTCCAGGCGTGTGTCCTTTGATTGTCCCACTGTGCACTCACTGTAGGGGGACATCTACATTCCGTCTGGACTGCAAGTTGCTGCTCAGAACTGTCATGGAAACAGTGTCTCTTAGTCACACCCTGTCACATCCTCAGTACCATTTCCCCCACTTGTTCTCGGCTTTCACCTGGAAACCAGCATCACTGCCTTACCCACAGCCTCAAGCTGGTGACAAAACAGGGCTGGTACCCAGCCGCAGTGCCAGGAACTGCTCTGTCGGCTGATTAGAATCAAGGCGTTAGAACTCATAACTTGGTGTATCAGTCTTCTCCAGCTGCTATAACAAAAATGCCACAGACAGTGTGACTTATAAACAATGGACATTTCTTTGTCACAGTTCTGGGGGTTGGAAGTCCAAGAACAAGGCAGGGGCATACTCAGTCTCTGGTGAGGACCCACTGCCTGGCTCACAGGCATCTCCCTGCTGTAACCTCACAGGGCAGAGGGCCAGGGGCTCTCTGGGGCCTCGTTTATAAGGGCACTAGTTCCATCATGAGGACTCTACCTTCATGACCCAATCACCTCCCAAAAGCCCACCTCTTAGCACCATTGTATTGGGTGTTAGGACTCAACTTAAGGATTGGGGGTGATGTGCACAGTGCAGTCCATAGCACTCGGGGTTTCAGGAGATGGTGATGTGCCACCTTGTCTGTACACACCAGTGACCCTCACACAGTCTCTCTCCTCACACATGCTCATCAGCACAGGTTCCCTGGCACAGGAGTAATCAGTGATAGGGCCTTCATCAACAGTGTCCAGGAAATAAGTGGTGGCCATCAAGGAAACCATTGTCCTTTAACTAGTGGACACAGGGTAGAACTCATGAGTTCAGATATGTATTAAACACACAAACACAAAGAGAGAACAAAAAACATCAGGCAGGAATGCAAGCCAGGCAGGGGTGCAACTGTGTGTCTCCAAGTGTCCCTAGTCCTATTGGATCAGGGCCCACACTGATGCCCTCATTTTAACTTGGTCACTTCTGTAAATACCTCCAAATGAGGCCACATTCTGAGGTCCTGGGCTAGGATTTCAGCATATGAATGGGGGTTGGGGCACAATTCAAACCACTCTAAAGAGGAACCTTAGCAGGCCTGCTCTGGAGGGAGCAGCTCAGAACATGACATGCCCCAAACCATGCTCTGTTGCTTGGCAGCCCCTGCCTCAGTGAAGGAAAGCCACCAGCAGACCAGGCATCCCCCTGGTTGGTGCTCTTCTGTGAGCAAGAGGCCAGCTGCTGTCTTGCTCTTGGAGTCCAGTGCAACCCTGACTGCCACGTCCAGTGCATCTTAGGGCCGTCCTGTCGGTGGCTGGGCTCTACAACACTGCATCCCCCGCCACACGGCAGCTGGAGGCCCGAAGCTGCATTTCCCAAATGCCCTGGCCAGCAGGGCTCAGGTCAGGGTCTGCCACTAGTGGGCGCACCTGCTGCGTCTGAGGGGGAGGAGGCCCAGGCAGCCGGATTGGGTTCCCTGCGGCTCCTCAGCGTTGGGTACCGACACCCCTCCCACCTTTGTCCGTCCAAACCATATAACAATTTTTAACTGAATTCTCTGCATGAAATCCCTCTCTGTTTATAATTTGTACAGTGGCTGGTGTTCCTTAGTCAGCTTGGGCTGCTGTAACCGAACGCCCCAGGCTGGGCAGCTCAAACAACAGACGTTTATTTCTCTCAGTCTGGAGGCTGGAAGTCCAAGAGAGTGCTGGCACGGTGGGGTTCTGGTGAAGACCCTGGGGCTGTGTCCTCACACGGGGGGGGGGGGGGGGAGGGTTGGTGGGAGGAAAGGTGAGAAAAATGGGGAGTAGGGGAAGAGAGGGAGCCAGTACACCTCTGATCTCTCCTTATAAGGGCACTGATCCCATGGGGAAGGGGCACTCTCTTGACCTCTAAATGGAGTCACCTCCCCAAGCTCCACCTCCTAATACATCCTCCTTCGGAGGGACCCTGGGGGGAGCACAAACACTCAATGCACAGCAGTCCCAGACCATAATGTTTCTATTATTAAAACTGAGCTATAGTGTCCTAGGACTTCAT